GTTGCGAAAACAAGGTCAAACAACTTCTATCCAAGCGAAGCAAGTTGTCCAGGGCATTTTTGTCACTCATGAGCGAATTTTCAGGTTTTTCTCTTCTACATGCACAGAGCAAAAAGGGCAGGATAGAGGACGCTTATGCGGTTGAACATTTGCTAGATTTGGCCCTTTCGCACAAGCCGTGGACAACAAAGTCTGCATCATCAATCAATGCGAAAATAAACAAATCCAGACTGTGGAGATACCGTGGGCTCGTCGCTTCATGCGAAGCCTGAGCTGGAAGTTGGTGCGGAAAAGTGGCTTTTCTCACGAATTTCACGTACACACGCAAAGTTAAGCTACTACTAGCAATTGAGTAATATGATCACGTTTAGTGTCAAATACTAGGGCCTCGGGGTCAGGCCAGATGAAGAAGAAGCAACATTCGAATCTCGGCTTCGCATTCCGTGCCATGGCGCCGTTTAGCGACAGCCAACGTTGACGTCGAGGCGCCGGAGCGCCGAGAAACGCAGGCCCATTTATGGCGAAACCGAAGCCCACGGGCCCTCAGAAATGCCACACGATTTAGCCTGACAACACGACAGCCAAAAGTTGCGCCCAACGCCAGAATCCTGTCGAGGTCAAGTAGGGTCAATGGTTTCAGAGACAAAAAAGAGGTTGAGAAGTAGGAATCGACGAGAAGCCTGACAGACGAGCGCGACCAACATTTGCAGATGGGGCCTATGCAAAAATGACGTCAAGTTCACACTCGCTCAGTTCAGAAGCAAGACCGAGTCGTCGTGGCACCTATTCCGCTCTGCATCCTCTGCCGGTTTCTCACAGCCGCCTGGTCGGTGTCGACTTGCTGTCATGGCGACCAACCTTAGGGACCCGTGAGGGAGGCCAGGCAGTTGATCGTCTCGATCGATCGGTTGACTTGTCGACTTGACGAACTGAAGCTGGGCAGCACGACCAAGTTGCAGATACGAGGAAAGAACGCGTCGCGATGAGGTGACCTTCTATTCGTATGAAATACGCGAGGACGAGGCTCGTAGGTCGATATGAACAGAAGACGAAGACCAATTGTCGTTTAGCTGTCCCATGACGTTCCGGCTGACTCAGACTACAAAGCATCTTCGCTGGTTTCATTCGTCGCACGAAGCAGATCGGCAGAGCTGGAGCTATTTGACGCAAAAGGTTCAATTTAATTGTGACAATATGACTTTGCATTTGAAAGGAAATGGTAAAAAAGTATCGATTCCTGCTATGACGATGCCTGCCACGGCGGTAACGACGACAACTTGCAACAGATCCATCGGGTTGGCAGGACGGTGGTCCGAGGGCGTCTTGGCACAATCCAATCGGTCTCTGGTGAGAACATTTCACGAATTTCCTCCAAACAACGTTTCCTTCCAAATGCAGGGTCAATAAATCACCAAGGCCATCTGCCGAACAGTTTTCCTACATAGTCTCTAATTAACACAAAGTCAGGCCGACTTGACGCTTTTGCAAGCATCAGTCCCAGCTCGTTTTCACTCAAACCAAGCGGGACGTCGAACCGCATCATCAAGCAATTTCATGCCAAACTGAAAGTCGCCACAACGACCAGGTAGCCAAGACGACGAGTGGCCGTGACCTCGTTCAGGCCATGTTCGCCCCGTCGGCTCCGGCGAACAATGTCCTAGGAGATGGCGGATTCATTTGGCAAGACGAAACTTGGTCGACCTCGACCAGCCAGTCTACCATTCTCGTCAAGGCGATGGGGCCAACAAGTGGAGAATAGCGCGGCACAAGATGGCGCCTTAATTTGGGCTGGCGATCCAGCTTACAATGCATGGGCAATTGAGACTAAATGAAATTGTTGGGGGGACCTTCAATTCGAATGAAAGTACATGAAGAAGAGATTCGTTTTTCGATCTCACCAGATGAGGACGCATGAAAATCGTTGTACTGCAGCCGTTTAGCTTTTATGTTATATTCATGTTGACGCAGTCCACGAGATTTCTTCCCTCGTTTCGGGTAAAAACGGGATGAGCTTTCGTCCATCATTCGATGGACCTCATCAGAGCTGGGTTTCATTCTTGTAAGAGTCTCACGTTAACACTAAACCAAGAACACTATCCGGCTTCCTCTTACAACTTATATACACTCAGTTGAGTCAATAGATTC